CCCCTGGTTAAATTTCCTATCTCCTCACATAACATGTTATTATCTAAAGTTTTCAGCATTCAGCTCTCAGTGATTAGTAACTTGGGAAATGAGCAGCCATTGAGGTTTTCCTGTGTCACTCTGAATGTTATTGTAGGTAATCTGATTCTAGAGTGAAAATTAATTCTCCATTTGCTTTATCACCAGACCAGAAAAATCTACCTTCAGTAGGGACTCCTAAGAAAAAGCATTGAACCAATGGCTGGTCTCAGAGTCCAAAGACACTTAAGACCCTCATGGTGGAGGAGAGGATGGGGCTGTGGCTGTGCAAGGACCTTGCTGAGCATGAAGAAGAGCATGCATCTGTGGGAGCCTGATTCAGTGACTGTATCACACTGTGCCTCCGTTTCCCCTGAATAAAAATAGAACAAATGGCAAATGAACTCTGGATTACCATGTTGCCTGTGAATTGTCCTGAAAACATCCCTGACTACCTGAACTCAAGCCCAGTATAGAGGAGACACTGACTTAAATGGCCACTGTCATTATTTGCCTCCATGAGAGAGAATTCCTGGGCTGAGTCCTGGTGGACAAGGAACTGTCAGGAGCATCTTCTCTCCTCTGTTCCTTCCTGGAGACCTGACCTCCCTCCGGAGTCTCCTAAGTCCCTCAGAAGAGTGAGCTAATGATACAGGGTATTTTGTCTATCGGTGCTCTCCTGACACAGCCTTAATTGAAGGAGTAAGCTCTGTCCCTGTCCTGATGTGGCTCTTGGGGTTGAGCCCTGGCTGGTGAGCCAGAGTAGAGCCACTGCTCCCACCCAGCCCTTCCAGGAGGTCAAACTCAACCTGACACAGGCTCCCCAGGTTCCCTGGAGTCAGGAGCCCAGGGACAGGGGTGTGGGAGGGGTTCCCAGGCTGGGTTTCTCTGTGAGGATTCCAGGGTCCCCTCAGGACAGGCCCCCACCAAGCTCTGCATGGTTTTCTCAGTGTCATGGTCATGAGGAGGGGACCAGGTGCTGGAGTGAGACTCTGCTGAGTCTCCCTCTGCTGAGTCACTCCCATGAGACTTCTCTCTGTCTACGTAGAATGTCTGTAGAGCTGGAACCTAGGAAGGGAATTCTGATCTTAGGAAGTTTGTTTCCACTCTGTGTTTCTTGCACTAAATGCCCAAAGCCAACCTGGGAGATGATGCAGAGGGGGATTGAGGCAGAGGTGAGGGCAGTCAGTCCTGTGTGTGAAGTAGACTTCACCCCACCCGACACCCAGAGGTCAGAGAGCAATCACTCACGGTATACATGGAGTTGTCCAGTTACTTGCATGCTCTGATAATCTTTGTCTGTGGCTAGTAGGGTATAGTATCCTGTGTCTTTCAGGGTGACTTTCTGGAACAGCAGGGGGCCGG